CTCTGATACCACCTTCTGTCACACCCCGCCTTACTACTAGCTTTTAAAAATCAGAGTAAAATTTTTGTTTTTATTTTCGAAAGAACGTGCGAGCTGGGTTTTCGAAAATACTGACTTATTGCGGGATGTGGCAGATAAAAACTTAAACTGAAACTTGGGCTTGCCCACAGACATAATAAAACATGCAACCAAACTGTCCGCTCGCGGATTATGGAATTATACATGCATAGTCTGTACTGTCTCGCACTGTCTAAAAAACTCGCTGGCGGAAGCATCCGAAATACGAATACATAACATGCGTACATAAACTGAATAAAATACACATGATCATAAATCTAGGACATAAAAATGCTGGTAAAATATGTCCGACTCTCATGACCACGCTGCGCCACATCTGTGCTCATCCGGCACGCTCGACTCCGTCTCCTGAAAAACACAATGGGGGCGTGAGCAAACCACTATGCTCCGCAAAGACCAGTACTGAACAAAACATCATCTATAATAACGTATCATGAAACATAAATATATAAGAGCTGAAACTGTAAACTGATCTCTGATGTCTGTTCTGATCTGTGGTCAAAAGACCCTCGGCCGTAGCCGCTCGTGTGCACACGCCGATGGGGTAGAAAGGGCCTCGCCCCTCCCAACGGTCATCAGGTGGGTATAAAGGCCTCGGCCACCCAACCCGGAACTAAACTGTCTCAAACATACCTCTGCCATGGTACAGATATTATCTATGATGTGACATCCAGTACATGACCCCCACCTGAAAAACTTGAAATCTGGTATGCAAGTGCGGAAGCTGGAGTAGCGGTCGGAGGCTCGACTCTCCTTAGGCTACATAAATATTTAAGCAAAATAATGCTAAGTATAATGCTCAGAATATTTAATTATATGCTAAAATGCTCGGACTTATCTACGCGATTAAACTGGACTGGACTGGCTTGGAAAAATACTGAAATTTCCGGTACTGGACTCGGATTAGAAATCACGAATCAAAACTGACTCGAACCACCGGTCGAACCGGCCGGTTCGCTGGCTGGCCGGATCGCCGGCCCGACTGGGCCGGGCGGTCGGGCTGGGTTCGGCTAGACCGGGCTCGGTCCCGTGCCGGGCCAGCTGGTGCCCGGGCACGGCGCTGGGCACGGCTGGTGCGACCGGGCTCGGTCCCTGGGGCCGCTGGACATGTCTAGGCGCGGACTGGCGCTGGTGGGCACGGCCAGGGGCTGCTGGCACGGCCCGGGCACGACTGGTGCCCCTCGGGTGCGTGCTGGGCACGGCCGAGGCTCGACTGAGGCGCTGTCGTGCGGCTGGGCACGGACAGGCACTGGCCAGACGCGGCTGGCACGGGGAAGGCGCGGACAGAGGCCCCTAGGGCGCTGCCGGGCCGTCCCGAGGACACTGGGCACTCGGGCATGCTGCTGGGACATGCACCGAGACCGACTGGCTCAGCTGACCCGGCTTGGATCAGCCCTGGACCTGGCACGAGGCTCTGGCACGAGACCTCGTGCGCTGGGCTTGGCACGGACGCTGCCGGGCGTCCCTGGGCACGCGGGTGTGCTGCTGGGCACATCCCGGGCCAACTGCGTGCTCGGGCGTGGCACTGGCACGACCCGAGGTCGGCTACGCATGACACGCGAGGCCATGCGTGCACTGAGGCTGGGACAGCGCGGCCAGGCGCTGTCGGGGTTGCTTGGGCGCGACGGGCGCCACGACCCCGGGTACGACGCGGACAGGCACTGCGGGCGCGCTGTCGCGGACACTGGTGCCTCGCGCACGCTGGCGCGGGCACGGACTGGCACTGGGCCGGGCACTGGCGCGCTATGTGCGCGGGCAGTGACCAAGGCCGGCCCTTGCCGGACCTCCGGCAACATTTCCGGTGACATGCAACTCCAAACATCATGATATGGTAAAATAAGCATAAATATCACATAAAACACTAGTGGACCCCGGGTCCACATGCATGATACTCGGGAGGGCCTAAATGGCACGTACGAGCAACTTGGCCTCCGAACCAACATTCATAACTTACAAAACTACTCAGGGCCGAATGATATACATCACAAATGATGACTATAATGGCTAACACTTGGGTCATACCATGCATGCATGAGGATGGGCCTCGGGTGGCCAAAATAGCGTATTTTCATGAATGAATTGACCAAGGCAATGAACTCCATTTATTCTCAAATTTTTACAGCATCAATGGTATGATATTTAAGGGTGATTTAACCAACATTTTTGACTTTGGCATGCATGCAACTAAAATTTTATTTTTAAGGCCATTTAATTCAAAAATTCGTAAATCATATATAATGACATGCATGGCTCGGTTTCTCTTCATGAAAAATCTTAAAATATCATAAAATAATTAATGAACATAAAAATCCCGAGCTTACCTCGGTTAGAAATGGAGATAATGAACTAGGGCTCGAAATGTGGCTATGCACGGCTTTAGGGGTTGGCTTGGACTTAGGTTGTGATTTTCTCGTGCCAAACACCTCCAAGAGACTTAAAAAAATATAAGGTACACTTATATAGTGCTAAGCCTCGAGAGATTTTGGCTGTAGGTTGCGGAACCTTGCTGCTCCTCCTTCCCCGGGCTGGACGTGCGCGAGCAGGGCTGGTTGCCTTAGCTTCGGCTTTTCTCCTCCCTCCTCACTATTTTGCTCGGGCAACTGAAGGTCTAAGAGCTTCAAATGAACTTAGGAAGGCTGTTTATAAATAGGTTTGGGCGGATTTAACAAGGTTGGGTCAAAGGGGACATGATAAGTGGTCTTATTCCACTCCATTTGCATGGGAACTTGAGAATGTCCTTGGTGGAGTTTGGCCTGACTTTGCACGGTCTTAGAGACCATTTTCAGAGTATAATATCATAGTGGAGAGGTCAGGTCAGGTTTGGAGGTTGCATGGGGGACAAGGACAAAATTACTTGAATAAACTAATGTGTGCACATGCTCCACTTTGGACTAATCTTGAGTTGACTTAGGCTAAACTTGCTTAGGGCCAATTTAGCTTAACTTAACCCTTATTAAGTCCCTAACATTCGCCACTAATGGTACATGAAAGAAATGGGCCGGACCTCCTCCATTTGGGCTCAAAATGTTGGGCTGGCAGTGCTGCCGCTGGGCCTGGCGCTGGGCTGCGGGCGCGGGCTGGCGCGAGGGCGCGGCCTGGGCTGCGCGGGGACGTGCTGGGCTGGCGCGAGGGCGCGGGCTGCGCGCGGGAAAAAGGGCTGCTCGCGTGAAAGGACCTTGGGCTAAGTAAAAGTGGTATGAAATGGCTCCCAACACTTAGAAATATTTTGCCACATGATACTAAGGCTTAGGACAAGCCTTGGGCTTGGTGGCACGCTCCCGGGCGCGGCTCGAGGCGTGGGTGCGGGACTCGGCACGAGCGGCTCGGGTAAGGACTAGGGCTCGGTTAAAATGATCAAGACTTATACTTTGATATTATTATACACTTAGAAAAATATTCTAAGTATAAAAATACCAATACTTGGCCATACTCGGAATTTACCGGGAAATCAACTCGGAACCAAACTAGGGTTCGGAGTCGATAAATTCTCGAATTGACATGCTATTAACTATCAACCCAAATTAATGGATTAATCTTAACTTATACTTGATATAGAATTATTCAAAGAATAATTTATCATGTTTGAGCATTTAGCATAAATAATATAACTCGAAAGTTTCTGAAACTTACGGATTTCACTTATAGTCGAGCAGTGAAACCGTTCTGAATATTATTACTGTTTTGGGGCGTTACACATTTGTTTACCAAAATTTTATCTGATTGTTTATCAAAACTTTTGAATTGTGATTGTATATATCTCTTTGTGTGTAAACCATTTTATTTAATTTAAATCAGTTATGTAATCACGTCCCGATTTTTACAACTCTGCAGCGCCCCAAAATTCATGATATTATCACGTGTAAAATTGTTTAACAATTAACACATAACAACATCTTATTATCAATTAACAATATAGAATTCTTATAAGGAATTTAAATTGTATATGATTCTTATCAATTAGCATATTAAATAAATCTGAAAATATTAATCAATTTATTATGTTTCCATATATTAATCAATCAAGTTTTTTAAAATCTTTCGTGTAAATATTTTTTTACCTTGTAGGATTTTTGTAGGATTGTATATATATTGATTTGGAATAAATTAATTTATTTTTTTTATAGGAATGTGGTAAACATTCCCGTGATTGTATGATTTTTATTGACTCTTTCTTGCATGTATGGAATATGAGGACTCTATTTGGAATGTAGTCGATCAAAGATTCAACCGATTATTTATGAATGTGATTTTTATTATTCTACAACTTGTAAACAACAATAAAAATCAGTTTTCGTGTTGCATGGGCGGATTACATGGGATCTTGCAAAATCTTATCACCTTAACAAATAAATTCGATTATTTCAAACAATTGAATGGCGGATTGCATGGGATATAGCATACAATTGCATGGCCGGGAAAAGACTATTTCAAACAATATACAAAATATGTAAGCGGGAAAAACACAATTTTGAAGCGGGAAAACGAAATGTTTTTTTTGGTTGAATAATTTTTATTAACTGTATTATATAGTAATAGATATTGAAATGCTATAAATATTCATTTTGGGATATTGATGTAAATGACTAATTTTAAATTTTGAAATTTATTGAGATATACAAAAAAATATTGTCGTCCATTTTTAAAAATATTTACATTTTTAAACATATTTATTGATATGTAAATATTTCCAAAAAAAATAAGATACATAAATTGTTCAAAAAATGTTGACTTTTGGCCTACAATTTTAAAAAAGTTTATGATAAAAACCAAAAAAGTAGGACAATATGTAGGCATAAATAGCTAATTTTAAATTCAATTAATTTTTTTTTTATCTAAAAGTAAATTAAACTTGTCTGCAGCTTAGTTAGGGATAGGGCTGTGAGCCCCTACCTATAAGTTTATCTTCAATAACACTCGTTCACTCACACCTGAAAACAAAAAATTAACTTTCCATATTTGAATTAAACATCAACCTCTTTCAGTATATATAAATATATATTTGCGATAAATACTAATCTCTTATTATGTATGTAGATATGATTATCTAATCATTAGTGGCATTGGACAGTATTTTAAGTATAGAAACAAAATATTTGTTTATTTTCTTATAAATCAACTTATCCTATAGTTGCAAAATATTTATTTATTAGTACCATACCCGTTCACTACGCGGATACTTATTAAAAAAATTATAGTTAAAGTTAAATAATAATAACAACAAAAATAATTTTAGTTTTTAAATACCTTTTGGAAAAGATATATTATTATTTATATTTAAAACGACACAGCCATTTACACGGCTTATCATCTTATATTATAATTTTATTTAATTTATATCAGACAACTGCTTTGTAGTTAAGTTAGTTTAAATAATTTTGATTTTTCAAATTAGTATTAATAAATAATTTAATTCTAATTATAAAGATAAATAAATTTATTTATTTATTTTGTATGTATAGTATCGATGTCAAATGGAAGCTCATCAAGATATGATTAATTTGATATATTACATATAAAAAATTATCAATAAATAAAAATTAGTAACTTTTAAATATATTTATAATTTAAATTAGGAAGATTGTTATAATTTTAAAAGAAATATGAGGAAGAAAGAAAGATTTTAGAAAAAAACAAAACCTTATAAACCACGTCTACAATAGAAAATGATATTCAAACATAATTAATGTTTTTAAATAAGATCATAAATATTCAGTATATCTATAAATATTCCAAACTTAGTTGCTTTTGGAATGAAAATAAATTAAAATTCATCCAAGCCAAACAACATAGCTCAAAAATTTATGGAAAATTTTTATACATACTATATGAAATAAAAGATATTTCGATTTTACCATCCAGTATCAAATATTTTGGTGTATACCTAATGGACAAAAAATAATTACGTGATTGCCTAAATATCTGTAACCCTTTGTAACGTCCACCATTCCATATATTCTGTGCGTGATTTCCGCAATAAAAAACGGAGGTGATCGATCGGTGATTCCAGGAAGAACAAGTTCGCGGTACATATACTTCAAGAACAAGCTAAACCGGAGGATTACAGGAAGAACAATTTCACGGAACATATACTGCAAAAACCGTGAATCATATATTGATCATATAATGTACATATACCACAACACAACATAAAACAGTAGATTCCATGGAAAATATACCTCAACACAACACAACACAAAATATACCGAAATCATCCGAAATCATCCTGAATCGAAAATATACCACAACAGAACACAAAATATATCGAAAATATACTGAATATAAATCATCCTCTGAAAAGGTATTTCTCTTCTCTCTCGTCGACTCCATGGACGATTCTCAGATCGCCTACCTGGAGATGACGCGGGGATGGCTCGTAGACGATCTCGTCGAGGGAGTAGGAGTCGGTGGAGAATGGGTCGGCGTTGAAGGGGACGTACTTGGTAGAGAAGCCGTGGGGCGAGGCGTGGCAGCGGGCCTCGTCGCGGATGTTCTCACCCACAGGGCGGCGGTGCTTGAGCGAGGCAGAGGCCGATGCGGCGGCGGAAAGGAGATTGGAGGATGTGGCGGACTTGTGTGAAGGGAGATCGAGGAGTTGGAGGATTTTGTGTGAGAAAAGAGAGAAAAGACCGTCTTTGAAGAAGAGAGAAGATGGGGGGAGAGGAGAGAGAATGAGAAGTTGCCATGTATTTAGAAAATTAGCTTTTTAGGTATATATGCAAATAAATATAATAAATTTAGTTAATTTGTAAATAATTATATAAGGAATGTAATTATGTAATATTTTTAGATTGTTTAAGTGGAGAGTGCAAATTCCTCAAAATTTATCAATAGGGAATAATGCTTTAGAACCCAAAGGGAACGTGTAACGGGCCTAATTGTAGAAGTGTTATTAATGGGCTTGGGCCCAGCCAGTAAGGAACATACGTTTTAGCCGCACCCTACATAATGTTGGTGGGGAATAAGCATCAAGTCTGTATTCTCGCAACTCGCAAGAGAGATTTGAGCAGAAGAGCAAACGCAGAACAATGGCAGACGAGGAATACGAGATGGACGGAGGGTTCGTCAACTTCCTTAGGGGACTCTTTGCTTATTATCCTTTTACACTCACGCTAATTAAATCTTACAGTACTTTTTTTTTGTGAAGTAAACAAAAATAGGGTTTGTCTAATCCATATCGTAAATAACAGAAAATCCTTGATTTATGCAGGTACGAGGATGAGCCCATGGATCCCGAGCCTGATGTTAGTGTGCCTTTTTGTTTTATGATCTTTTTTATATGAATGATTCATTATGCTGATGCTCTATGGTTTATTTATTGGTTTTTTTACTCTGACAGGAAGGGGCGGAGTTCGAAGAAGAAAACAACAACGAGGATGTGCCGGATCCTATTGTAGGTGAAGGTGAAGAGAAAGAGGACCAAGAGCCGGTAGAACGCCCACGAAAAACTTCTAAGTACATGACTAAGTATGAGCGGGCCAGGATTCTGGGCACGAGGGCTTTACAGATTAGGTATGTTTTTGTTGTGTTAAGGTTTCAGTGTGTGTATTTTGTTTAAATTGTGTTTGTCGTGACTTTGGGAGGGTTTATGTATTCACAGCATGAATGCGCCCGTGATGGTGGAGTTGGAGGGTGAAACAGACCCATTGGAGGTGAAGTTTCATGGATCTCTTTTTTAAAGCTACATTTTTTCTTTGATTGTATAATATGGTATCTACATTGTCTAGAGTACTATGATGATGTTTGTGTCAGTGTGCTGCCATAAAATTGTGCGTGTTTAATTATTTGAGTTATTTAAAGATTAAGTTGTTTGTGGATCATCTTGATATTTCCCTTGGTGTCTTGTGCATTTGTTATATTCTTTCAGAATTCTTTTATCTCAAATGCCACAAGTTATATTTTGTCTGAATACATAGTTGGACGTGGGCCAGTAATTTAAAATTTGAATTTATCCTCATAACCAGAGTGCTGAAATGTTTGGAGGGGGTATTGTGAGAGAAGTTAAGGGTAGACTTGTTTATCTTGGAAGATGACATTTGAGATGGTCCATTGGGAAACACTAATACGAACATGGGGATCTTGTATTTCTATATATGCTCATGTTAATGTTTTTACATGACTGAGTATCAACTTCTTAAATTTTATTGAAGTGAGTTCCTGATAACGTTTTCTTTTAATACAAATCATCTTCACTTGTTGATGGAATGATATGATAATTTATTTAAGTTGGTTACGGATTATATAGTCAATCATTTGTATTCAACATTAACATTAATTTAGTAATGTGGCAAATATAGATGTCCTGATCAGCTTCCTGTCACATCTCTTCTCATTGCTGATACAATTTGTAAGACGGCACAATATATCCGATTGAAGTGTTTTCTAGCTTTGATACAATTAAAGATAATAAGTTGCTTCCACAAAACAAACATTCTTCCTGGCGTTAATATACAAATGCATATAGTGGAGTCTCTATTATGAAGTGCATTTCTTTTTATTTATTTTTAGCTTTTGGTCTTGAAGAGTGAGCAAGGGCTCCTGCATGCATCAAAACATCCACGATGCTTTGAGTCTAATCTCTTAGTTATAGTATTTTGAATTGGGTCTAAAATGATGTGGATCTTAAGTAAATTTACGTAGTTTTTTGAAAACAATAGGTTTTATTGGGATGCATTCAGTCTAGACTCATGTCTCAAAATGGACCCCAAGTGGAGACCTAGTCTGTTTTCTCACATGCCACATCATGTAGACCTAGTTTCTTTTTCGTTTGCATAGTAGTGATTTTGTAATCCAAGGTCCAGAGTCCAATGTGGTACTAGACATTTTATCAAATAGATCCAAGCATTAGAGATGCTCTTGAGCACTAGTGAGTCCTAACTGAGTCTCTGTTTCTTCAGAATACTGATTGTTAATCATATTCTAGAAAATATCACACTTTGATTTTCGAAATACTTGTATGTTGGATTAAAAATGACATAGCGATGTTAATCTTGGATAAGGTCAAACAGGTTTGGTATTACTGTAGTTAATTTGATGGGGCTAGTTGTGAAATGAGCATATCATCTTGAATTGGTTGTCTGTACATTAATCTTACATGTTATTTTTAAATATTTAAATATAAGTTTGTGTAAGGTGCTGGTCGTGCAAGAAAGTGAGACAGTTGTACTGTTATTCATCTCTGTCATGCAGCTCCCTCAATCTATATGAGATTAAGTGGGACAGTCTATTCTGCATATTTGTCTTTTCTTGAAGCTGCCTTGCAAATCTTATCTGCTTTACTTTTTATTTCAGATTGCAATGAAGGAACTGCGAGAGCGAAAAATACCCTTCACCATTCGTCGTTATCTCCCTGATGGAAGGTAAGCTCTCTCGGTTTTCGAGAAACTCTTTCAACTGATTGGCATCTTTATTTGTTTCTTAACCGTGTAATATTTAATGCCATAAATTGATAGCTATGAAGACTGGGGAGTGGATGAATTGATCGTGGAGGACTCGTGGAAGAGGCAAGTTGGGGGCGACTGAGCTGGCATCCATTCTCCTGATCATCCTTGTCTTATTTTGAACAGAAGTAATATGATTCACCTAAGATATGAATTGGAATCCTATCGAATGTCTTTGTAATCTCATTTAAGATGAATTGTACACTGCATTTTGTGATTTTGTATATACTTAATTGTCGAGTTTTTATTACTGATTAATCTCTCTCAGATGCAATTTGCTTGCTGTTCATCGATTCCTTGGGAGTATGTATTGCCGTTCTCGTAATTAGGAACTTATTAAACTCAGAGACAGTGTGTTGCTCTCTTTTTTTTTTTAATTGTTATGATCTTCTTTATTTTTCTTGCAAGACTAGAAAATTGAAATAAGCACGTGTAAATTGTTTTTGTTTAAGATAGATATGAACTGTACATGTCTCGTCCCTTCATTCCTTTTTGTTTTTTTAGATTATCAAAGAAACAAATCACTTTCTCTTTCATATTTGTTTGTTTGAGTTCTCATTTAGTTGCAAGATTTAGCATAAAGTGATTTACACCGCTTTATTACAGTTTATGATGCATTTAGTTTTCTTTAATTAGTAATTAAGTTTGATATTTCCAAATTGTGCAGTAGCAGTTTATGATGCATTAATTTTTTCTTGAATTAGTAATTAAATTTGATATTTCCAAATCTATATATATATAATTGGTGGCAAGTTCTAATAAATTTTATGCAGCCACAATTAATAATAATATGAGTTCATTTAATTAAAATAGGTGTTCATTTAATAAAAATAAAACATTTAATAAAAACATTTATGACTACCATTCAAATGACAATTACACAAGTAAAATTTTATTATTATTATTTTTTATTCTGTAACAGCTTTACAAGATTTTAAATATTTTAAATATATAATATTAAATTATTTTTACACTAATATTCCTATTTTGTATTATAATTATACAATAACAAAAAAAAAAAAAATGATTTATATGCAAGTTAAATAATTAATATTTATATTATACATTTACATATCGTCAAAATTTTAAAATGTAATACACGCTTTATCTAATTTAAATTTTTAAATATCACCTACGTACATATAATATATAAAATTTTTGTTTTCCTCAGTGCATGTGTACATGATCAAATACAAGTTATGCAGTAACGATTAAGATGTGAGATTGGGCATTGCAATTAAAAAGAAAAAATTACCACACGCATTTGGATATTTTTTTTTTTTTTTAATTTTCAATTATACTACACAGTATTTCTATGCAAGTTGAACTCTTTAATTCCTATTTTATGTGGATATTTATTTTATATTCTTAAATATACTTATAAAACATTTTTTTAATCAGATAACTTCCTTAATTGTGAGTTGAATGTTTTATAGATAGAACCATAATTTAATGATTCCTTCTAATTTTTCTCCTCTCTCCTCTTATTTCATATTCCATATTTCACATTTTTTTCCAATTAAAACAAAAAATTACATACAACAATTATTAAGTTGACTATCAAATAATCAAAATAAGATGTGACGTTCAAAGAATTTGTGGCTGTTTGAAGGAACCAATCTGCCAGTCCGAGCAATGCTCAGTGGTGCTCTTAAAGAATGGCTGGATTTTAATGTCCTATCTTTGTTTTCTGTGTTTCTTAGTGTTCTTCGATTTGTGGTGCTCGGTCTCTGTTTTGGTATGCCAGGGAGTCGTTCATAACTAGACTTTGAGCAGTGGTTTGAAACCTCTTTGGCCGTTTAGTCTTGTTAGTTTGGTGTGTTGTCCCGTCTGTGGGCTTCTAGGCCGCTTGTTTGTCCTCCCAGTTTTTATTTCGGCGTAGTTGTGTTATTTGTATTCGAACATTGTTCTCTCGGAGGTGTTCTATACTACCTCTCAATTATTAGTTTAACTAGTATTAAATCAAAATAAAACCCAAAATAAATGCAAATTTTCTTGTAATCAATTGATACATTTGATATTCAAAAGTAATCCGAATTGTACACATGTATTTTTCAGACTAGTAATGCATGTATTTATTTCTCAAAACTAAAATAATTATTATACATGGTTATTTGCAATAACATAAAAAGAAATATGATGAAGATATAATTATGAATGCAATAAAATGAGAGAATTATTTGTGGAAGTGTCAAAACGGGCGGGTGGAGCGGGCCGGCCCGTTGATCGCCATCCTGGCGGACCTACAAAATGCAGGCCCAACCTGCCCCGACCTCGGGTTTGGCGGGCTAGGCCCTTTAGTTTATTTATTTATTTCTTTTTCAAAAAACTGATTAGCAAAATTGATGAATAACACAACCTGCCCCAAATTTATTAGCAAGCGACACATGACGCACAACATCACCATACACCAAATAAGAAAACTAAATTGACAAAAGAGATACAATTATACAAGTAAAAAACCCAAGGCCTACGAATCGTGGATCAATGAAAACCCCCGGGAGAGCGTGAATGCGGAGGGCGCACGACAAGGACGAGAGGACGGAGGTCACACGGCGAGTGTGGAGGACGGAGGGCGCACGGGGAGGGAGGTACAATGTCGGCCAGCTCGCGACTCAGTGTCTGACAGCGGCGGGTGGCGAGCGGCGAACGAGCAGAAGTGATTTTTGTTAAATTGGAGTTTGGGCGATTAGGATTTGTGTTGAATTGGGAGGATGAGGATTGAAGAGATGAAATTGGAGGTATTTGAAAATGAGATGGGTACTGATTGGAGATGAGAATAGGAGATATAAGAGTGACTTACGTGAGATGGAATTGATGGATGATAATGAGATGAGAATAAGGAGAGTGAGATAAGAGCCTGCTGGCTGCTGCGATTAGGGTTTTTTCTTTAATTCTTTTTTTTAATAATTGACGGGCTAGCCCGCCCTGCCCTGCCCTGTCCTGCTTTGGCTGCGGCCTGCACGGGCTTAGAAAATCTTAGCCCAACCCGCCCTTTTGATGGTGCAGGGCAGGCCGGCCCACGAGTTTAAGCCTATTTTGACAGCTCTAATTATTTGTGATAGATATGTTAAGAAAAAAGAAAGAAATGTAAGTAAACTTTGCGAAAAACTAGCTTTGTAAAACTTAACTTAAATTGCTATTGTACTCTTATGGAAACTCACTTCCCAACTGACTCTTAACATCTCATAACTCATCTCATACTTGAAATAATAACCATACTTGAATACATAAAGCATGTTCATCAACTCAACCATAGTTCGAAAATAGTTGTGAAAACGAGTTTAGAAAACAATCGCAATCATAATACTAAAAGCTTATAAATAACTGAAAAGCATTAATAATTTGACCACCTTGCCACGGTTCCAGCACCAACTCGATCAACCTGAAATGTGGGAAACAATAGGGGTGAGCACCCAACTACTCAGGAGACATACTACGCAACACTCAATATAATAATAAATACCATGACATCAACATGTAACACGAATAAGCGTGTGACCAGCTGCTGGGAACCTACTGAGTTGGCGCCGGCTGAGAGGGCTGAAAAGCTACTGGTTGTCTGGCCGATGAGCGAGCTCGGCTGGCCTCCTGTCTGAGGCTAACGTCAATTTGCTGATCCCGGGAGACAGTCTCAACGTAGGTCAATGCACCGTAGCCGGCTACATGATGGCGAATCTCTCTGCGCAGGCCGTTCTGGAAATGTCTCGCTCTCTTCTCCTCTGTGTCGATGAGGTACGACACGAAGAAGTCCAAGCGAGTAAACTCTCGCTTATACTCCTCAACGGATCGGTTGCCCCGCTCCAGGTCAAGGAACTACCTCTCCATATGCTCCCTGTAGTGGGTCGGGTAGTACTTCTCCTTTACAATCTCTTTGAGACGAGCCCAAGTTATGGCTGCCTTCTCCTCGACTGGCCTCATGTCCCAGTACGCAGACCACCACAGTCCAGCGTCTCCAGTCAGCTGGAACTGGGGACACAAGATGCGTTGCTGCTCGGTGAATCTCATTGCCTCGAAAATCAACTCGAGGTTGCAAAGCCACTCATTACCACCCTTTGGTCGCCCTGTCCAGTGATCGTCGCAGACTGAAAGTTGCGAAACTGAGCGACGATCTATGCCTAAGTAGGTCACGGCACGACTGGAGGGTCTTGAGCTCTGTGGGGCATCATCTGAATGGCCAAGGAAAGGATTAGAAAAGAGTTGAATAGCATGGCTGATAGAGTACTGGCTCCATGATGCTTTACAAATTTCCTGACGAGTTGCCCAAAACTTAACTTAGCTTGGCTAGAGTTCTGGCTTAAATTGGACTTAACTTTTTTTAGAATTCTGACTAGAGTTCTCAATTCTTTATCCAAGGATAGATCCTAAGGCCCTTAAATTTCTTATGATATGCTAATCATGCACTTGCTGTAAATAAAACTTACATCAACAACATACCTCGGAGTCGGTGCGACGTGAGCGTGGTGTGGTCATAGCTTTCTGAAACTTTTTTAACTTAAACGTTTCAAGTATTCAGAACCGCTAACTGGGCTCTGATACCAATTTAAATACTTACATTATTATAATAAGAACAATGCTACAAGTACATAATAAATATACATAGAGGTGTACATAACACTCACATGGACTGGGGTCCACTTGATTTTTTATTTTTGGATGGACCAACTCCATGTGAGTGTTATGTATACCTCTATGTACATGATTATGTACCTATAGCATTTTTCTTAAAATAATGTCTTGAATTTAATATTTTGGACTTAAAATAATTAACTTGCTTTTATCTTTGAAACTAAAGTCGAGCTCTTATAATAAATAGAACGGACTGTTACAGGGGGTGGGGGTGAGTGAGGCAGATGATATGGGATAACCACACCAGGTCGACTAGACAAAAAAGGCAGCTAGACCGAACTGGGTCAGTCATAAGGTCGAACAAAGAATGAAGATCCCACAGGTCGAGGAGAACATCGATAATAACAAGGGTACCGACAGGTCGAATAAGGGACCTCGGAGGGTCTGGTGGAATTTCGACCTGAAGGAGCACCTGATTGAAGCATCGACCAGATTAGTAGGATAGCGGTGCTCAAGAACGATGACACTTCACCTCGAGGTAATTGAGGTTAGCCGCACGGTTAGATTGTCTAATGAAGAAGACTATGGGATGAGAAGAAATCTCACTATAATTAATACTACATGGGCCAAGACACGTAGCACTATTTGATAGGTCCACACCCCATAACCGTTTGGGGTAGTACGGGTAGCTCGGGCAGCCAACTAACAATATCCGGGCAGACTTCTAGAAGCAGGTAACCCACTTTTATAAATAGAGTGAGATGTGCAATTTTAGTGTTACATTACTATTATACTCTCTATACTTTACATATTGCATTTCATCTATTACAAATGCTAACTTAAGCATCAGAGACTCTTCATTAGAAAATCCCTCCGGTGTGAGAGTTTTGCAGATTCGAAGACGTTCAACCTACGT